TCTATTCATAATATTATATATATTTATTTATTTAAATTACATTATATTTTATTTAATATTATTATATATTTATAATTATACATAATATTATAATTTTAATATTATCAAGTAAAAATAACCTAAAAATTTGATATTTACAACACCTTGAAGCTATTTAACTAGGGCCTTATCTCCAATCATGCATTTAACAACTGAAATAAACATGATAATTAATCAAAATTCAACCAATATCGCATTTAAATTATCATTTTTCTTTGATAAAAATAAATCTTGATAAAAAGTATTGACAATGCCAAAAAAAAGAGAGAGAAACCTCATAAGAGAAGAAAAAACCTTCATGAGAGAGGAAAACATTCTTAGAAAAAAAAGAACTCCTATTTTTAATCATCCATCCTAGCTGCCAAGAAGGAGAAATGTAGTAATAGCTAGGGGAAGAAGAAAACCCCAAAAAAAAAAAACAGAAAAAAGGGAGAAAACCAAAACGAGAGAAGCGGCATCGCTTTGTTCTAGTAAAGTATATTTTTTTATTTTGAGTTATTTAGTTTAGTGGTTTAAAATTAATAATTAATAATTTAATTTAATTTAACAATTAATAATAATTATTATTAATTCAAATATTTTTACTCATTAAATTAGATTCATTGAATTTCTTACGTCTTTGAACCATGTGTAGAAGTTGATGACGATTCAATCGATCACGTTAAATGTGATGATGGCGACTTGATGCAAAACAATCACACATGATCAATAAGAATTATCTTCGATAAGCAAAGAGGACTCGATTATGGAAATTGTAGTGAAATAGAAAAATAGTATTTCATCAAAAGAGTCCAGACAAAAACGTATGGCTAAGATTGGGAAGGAGAATTATATTGAATGGCAGAGGAAGTTCCGAAAGGTTGAAATTGAATATCAAAATAGAGTCTCCAAATGGCATACTTGTTTCTTGATGTGTCTCCTCCCTGCCTTGATGAGAACATTTGCAAGTTAATATGGAATCCATTGATGCCTGCTAAAGTTAGTGTCTTTGCCTGGTGCCTCTTTTTAAACCACCTCCCCACCAAGGATAAACTCATACAACATGGCATTCATCTAGTATCCAGCCCAGCATGCGTTCTATGTGATAATTATATGGAAGATGCAAACCATGTCTTTGCAAAGTGCAAATTTTTTCAAAATCTTTGGAACCGTGTATGCAGCTGGTGGGGACTAACGTTTAACCATACTAATAACATCTCCCATCTACTTCTCCAGCTTTGCTCACTTTCGATCCCAAGGAAAGCACGACAGCATTGGATTCTCACTATTTTTACAACAGCTTGGACCATTTGGTACTGCAGAAATGGTATTATTTTTAACAAACTTTCTTGGAATGAGAATAATATTATAGACTTAGTGCAGGTTAAGACCTTTGCTTGGATTAAAGGAAGCTTGAAATCTGTTAGTTTTTGTTTAAGTGACTGGTGTCAGTTTCCAATCTTATGTGCAGTCCAATCCTAATTCCCTTTCCCATGTTGTGTATTTTCTTGATCTAATGGGTGAGTACCCTTGTACTCATTCTCTTAATAAAATTTTGATTTATCAAAAAAAAAAAAAAAATAGACTCTCCAAATGATAGCACAATTACATAGAAAAGGATGGCACGAACAGCTCGATGGGAGCATCGATGGCATGGCAGAGGAAATTCAAAAAGGCCGAATTAAGGAAAACAAGGGGTAGATGAATTGAAACTCGATAAGGCAGGATCAGGTACGCAATATTAGAAAATAAATTATTAAAGTTCTTGCCTCCTACGTTGATATGAAACTATTAATAGGGAAATTCTTGATTCATATAATTTTTTTATATGATTTTGTTTTGGAAACAAATATTGTGTGGGCTTTTGGTGAGTAAACATATAAAGAAAAATGCAGTGCACACGATTTAAATGCATGAGTTCGCCTTTTATAAATTAAGGATTTGTTTATCCTATACTTTAATAATATAGAATAAGATTTAATTATTAGATAATAATTGTCAATTTTTTTAAAAGATGTGACATTTTAAATTAAAAAATTAAATTCTAATTTTAATTTCAAAATGAATCAATGAAAAACTAACATGTGACATTTGTAATTAAATTAAAAGTTAATTTTATTATTTTTAAAATAAAAATATTATAATAATTATGTAATTATTACTTTATCTTATGCCGTAGTAGTACAAAATAGATAAAACCCATAAATTAATTCTTCAATGGCTGCAATGGTAAGGTGCATCTTAAAGCATAAGTACCACTTTGATTTAAATCCTTGTGATATAGTCTCCCTTTTCTCAATTTCTCATGTTTAGAAAAAAAAAAATGATTCTTTGAGTTTGACTGATGATTTCAGATCACCATCTATCAAATCTCTCTTCCAATAAAACATTGCACTCAGTAATATTGTTTCCCAAGCTATTCATCCATGCTTATCTCTCTTGTATCTATTTAGTCAAACATAAGGGAGAAAACATCTCCAGGAAGATGGCTTTGCAAGAAGTTAATAAAGATATAAATGTCTACCAATGATATGTTGGTTTGAGTAGAAAGAGATCGATTCCCCTTAAATAAGGTTTTGAATTTAAGTCTTGTGAATGGAAAAACAGGCGTTACGAGAACTTCCCTCTAATGTGGTTCGATATGACTCGATTTCGAATTAGTTGGGACCCAATGTGGCTACCAAATACCGGAAGGTTAATACTGAAAAAAACAAAAAGATATAAATGTATACAGAGGTTTTTTCATTAAAAAAAAAAGTCTACGGAGTTCTATAATTAGTAGCCATTGGGCACAATGAGATGAGAGAAATAAAATAGGTGTTGAAATCTCATTTTGAGATTAAATAAATCTCAGACTTGATGGATGAAAGCATGGCTCTTGGCCATGAGAAGGAAAATATATAATATATGAGGACAATTCTCTTCATTAATATGAATATGAGCAAGTTTTGAGTGCATGTTCGGATATTGACTATGTGATTTAATATTTGTCTTAGCTCCATGTATTGAACATTTATATCATTTCATGTGCTTTAGATGAGTGATAGTGTCTCTTACTTGGAATATTATAACTTCTAGAAGCTGGACATGTTTCAAAGAATAATTGATCATTGGTTATATAATGATGAGTTAATTTTATTCTTGTAAGACTGTTAGTCATTTTAAGTAATATAATAATAAAAATTAAGAGTTGTCTTGTAGAGACTATAAACTAATTAAAGAGCAAAATTAACTAATTGTAATTTTATTTAAAAAATTAAAATTAAATTATTTGAGTAAATTAATTAACTAAACTAATTTAAAAAATCCAAGTTGATTTTAAGTGACACAAGAATTAGAATTCTAAGAGCAACTAATTTCATCATAATCAAGTAATATAAAATTTAAATTAAAGTACTTTAGTATCTTTATTATTCATATGACGGTGAAATTTCTTGATCTATTCAATATATTTTTCCAAGTTATATCAAATATATCCTCCTTATTGATCTATTATATCTTTATATAAATTTAAATGGATAAAAACAGATTATACTTTGTGAAACTTCCTAACTTACTCTCTAACTTGCATAAAAACTTTCAAATTCACTTATTGCTAATGCTGCAGAAA